AAATGAACTCCATCGACCTGCCACTGTGGTTGAAAAAAAATTAGACAGAACCAAAATCAAGTAAAAATCATCGACCTGCCACCGATGTCTGCAAATAAACTCCTTGAATTACACCAAATGAACTCCATCGACCTGCCATTGTGGTCGAAAAATAAATTCAACAGAACCAAAATCAAGTAAAAAACCATCGACCTGCCACTGAGGTCGAAAAATAAATTCGACAAAATCAAAACCAATTCATAAATTTTTGAATGGCTTCGATAGAACACCAGTTAAGAGATTCATCACGAACTGCTTGTTGACTGCCGACGATCATATCAAATAAACCCACAGAGTTTAATGTTTTTTCCTTTTCAAATTTGGTTGGGGGATTCACAAGATTTTTCTCTCGCGAGGGTGGAGTGGAAACTTGGAGCGCTAGGGTTTCATCTGATGTCGAGTGAGGAAATAAGAATTCACTCCCAAGAAAATCTAGATAAAACGACGTCGTTTTGGTCTTAAGGGGAAACATTGTCGTTTTGTCCATAAACGACTTCGTTTTGAAGGCTTCCAGACACATGTTAGTCAGGGAAGGCCAATACTTCCTTTTTATATATAAAATGAAATGATTGGTACGATGGAATAACATGAGAATGAAATGGTCATTCCCTTACTCATTTTTTATCCCATGATTGGTATACTTTTTTTAAAAGAAATGACCATTCAATGGGAATGGCAAAACTCATCTCCATGAATTTAGCCATTCGATAGCTAATGCAGAGTTTTCTCATTCCCATATTTGTAGGAATCATTTTTTTCAAACAATAAAGTTAACAAATCATAATAAAAAAATATATAATATAAATCATGATTAAATTATATTAATTAAAATAATTTTAAAAAATAAATTTCAAATAAAAAATTTAAAAAACTAAATTTTATTTATTGTTCATATTTTAATTAGATATATTGAATAATTATACAATAACAACAAGTCATTAAAATCACAGAGTCAGCTATATGAATCGCATGTCACTATCGTGCTCGATCAAAATATCTATATTAATTCAAATTTAAATATTTTGAATTATTTTTTTATTATTTCCTTCCAAGTTTTCTTAGGTCTACCCCTCTCCCTTTTAATTTGCGTTCTTAACTCTAATGTTCTACTCTTCTCATCGGGGCCTTGTACGCACATGTCCAAACCCTCTTATAAAAATAAAACTGAACAGATGCATTTATAAATAATTTAAAAAGATATTATTTTATTTTTATACACCATATATATTATATATTTATTCATAAATTGAACTATAATATTAAAAACTATATTCGACCACATATGTTTATAGGGATTTATGTAATGATATATTGTTATTAGTTAATATGTATATCACAATTCACTAATTTATTACATAATATATATGAGTGTAACAATAAGAAAATATATTTATTAAATTAAATATATTTTCTTAAGAAATGACATATTTTTTTATTATCATAATTAGAAAAATAACATTAGTTAATATAAATACTTATTTATCTATTTTATAAAATAATGATAAATGATAATATAGAATGAGAATGGCATTCCATTCAGGTCTTAATCCTTCTGCATACCAAACACATCAATGGAAAAATTTGTTTCATTCGTTTTTCATATTCATTCCATTGAGATAGTATGGTAAAAGCTATTATTTATTTATATAATCATATTCCTTGTCTTACATTGAGATAGTATGGTTCATGGTGTCTCGAAAAGAAAGATCATCTATCGGTTCCTTGTAAGACAAAATTATTCGTTCACAGTCTAGACAGACATTGAGACTCCTCTTGGAAAAAGATTGTAGTGTAATCCAGATCCAATTTCTCTTTGACTGAAGGTTTGCACTAGTACTTAAGATAAGTATTAAACAGAACCGCGGATAGATAAGATTATGAGACTCATTGATCGCAGTTGTAATTTAGACCTTCGGTAATTGATGCTTTCTCTAAAGACGTAAGATAATATAAAATGGGCATATATATTCATTACTTGTTTATTTGATTTACCAATGGTGATTTCTATTCTGTTAGGATGACATACTCATTACTTTGGTAAGTAAAGGTGTTTATATGATGTTCTCTTATAAATTATTTATGGTCACTGTGTCCCGATGCACTAGGTTGATAACGTCCCCGGAATGAGTTCAGTAAGAAATATTATGTCAAACCCTGCATGTGGATGTGTATCCGACAAAATGGTTAAAGATCTGAAGGGTACAGTTTCAGAAATGAATAAGAATTTGATTAATCATTTTGTCAGTAATTTAATTAATCAACGGACGTTATATCTTAATCATAGGGAGGTAAATCAGTCAATTAGATTAACAATTAATTAATGAAGTGGAGGTTTGAATTTATTGACTGAATTGGAGCTAAATGGGGAGAGCAATAATATTACTCTAGTGGAATGTTTATTATTTAAACCTATGTAGGAATTAGGAATTAATTATTTTCCATTATTTAATTCCCTAAGAAAAGGGATATCCCTTCTATAATATTACCTAGGGTTAGAACTTAGAAGACTTGAGTCTTCTAGAATGTAATTAGGGTAATGAGGAATAATATTATCCTAGATGGAAAAGGATATGGAACATAATTAGGTTTCCTAAACCTTATTGGATAAGACCAGATTTAGCACCTCCTAAAGGTCCCTAATGTAACCGATAAATAGACCATGTCTTGAACTCTTAACATTGTACTTGTTGAGCACGATTTGAAGGTCTTCAAGAGAGGAAAATCGATCACTTCAATATGATAAGAGTTCGAGTAATTTGGAAAATTGCCCAACGAGATTTTTTGGAATAGGTGTTTAGGAAATACATTAGAAGACTTTTGGATAATATTTATTCGAGCCTTTTATAGATACTAGAGCCACCGCCCAGCCACTTATAAGTGCCCATCACAGTCGTCGACATTTGCGGGAGATCTCCACGTCGAGCCAGCACACAGTCGCGAGCCGACGCCCGCAACCGGATGCCGTCCCCAATGATGCTCTGTCGACTCACACGCTGCCGCCCGAATCTCGCGCGCCCAGTTTCGCAAGCACGCAACCTGCTCCTCCCGCGCGCCACAGTCCGAAGAATTCGCGCTGCCCACTCGACTTGCTGTGCACGCAGCACGCGTCGGACGACCTCAGACACACCCCGCGCATGCTAGCGCGCCACGCCATGTTGCACGCTCTCATTAGCAAGCACCTGACTTACCGAGACCGACCCACACCAGTCGAGTCCAGCCACAACCCGACTAAACCCAACAGACGTCCGATCTTCCCGAGCCTGATGAGCCCTTGTCCCGATGATCCGTTCGTGACCCGACGACCCGATTTCAAAGAAGGAGGCCAAGTTCGGCTGCCCATGGACTTTGCGGTTCAGACGAACTCCTACAGAGAAAATCAGAGACGTCTTAGGGTCGGAAAAAATTTAAAAGGTATTATCCTAATCCTAACTATAGATTCCACTGCGTTAGGATTTATTTCGAAAATTTTAATGTTGTGCATGTCGTTGACGTTCCTAATAGAACCCAACACCCCTATCCCTTTTAATTTGCGTTCTTAACTCTAATGTTTCTACCCTTCTCACTGGGGCCTTGTACGCACATGCCCAAACCATTTTATATAAAAATAAAACTGAACCAATGCATTTATAAATAATTTTAAAAGATATTATTATATTTTTATACATCATATATATTATATATTTATTCATAAATTGAATTATAATATAAAAAATTATATTCGACCACATATGTTTACAGGGGTTTATGTAATTATATATTGCTATCAGTTAATAAGTATATGTATACCAGGGTTCTGAAAACCATACCGGACAGGCTGATTCGACCAGTTCAACTGGTTCGGTTTGAGGTATGGAACTGTTGGGGCCCCAAACCGGATATAAATCGTTTGAACCGGTTTGAGGTATGGAACTGTTGGGGCCCCAAACCGGATGTAAATCATTTGAACCAGTCAAATACCGTCAAAATGCCTCAATCTTTAAAGGCTCGTACAGACTAGTGGCCCTGTTGTTTTCTTTACTAAGAGTTTGCAGTAAACTCGTCTAAATAGTTGTATTAATTTCGTTTCTGCTTACGATGTGGGATTGTGGGTGTTGAAAAAATAAAGGAAAATATTTATCTATCCTACAAGATTTTGAAAATATTGTAAAAATACAATCCATAAACAAATAATTACATCTCTACCTAATATGTAATATATAACTACATTAATTCCTAAAGTTAGTTACCATTTCCATTCAACCTCTATCCCCTTTTTTGTGGGCTTGATTAAGAGAGAGAAATGAAAAATAATAATTGACTCATTTAATTCCTTAATTCGTACAGCTTGTACATTTTTAATGTAGAGAAATAAAAACATGTATTGTAATTCACGCAGCTATCAGGTGATATATTTTGCGTTCATGTTAGTTTATATTCAGTATATGTTGCATTGAAAAACATGTCTTCCATCAAAAAATTATGTTTTTTTTTTATTTTTTTTTTTTGTTTTTTAATTTTTATAGATAAAAGTACATATAGACATATTATAACAGTTACTTAGATTCTAATATGTTGAACATATATTGAACATATACTCCATATACACACAACATATACTGAACAGTTCACAAAAAATCTTCTAATATACTAAACATATACTCCCTATACACACCACATATACTGACTGCCTATACACGTAATATCTACTGCATGCCTATACACGCAACATATACTGCTGTGAACATATATTGTACATATACTGTAGATATAATGTTCATATACTAAACATAAGTGTTGTCTGAGCAAATTGTAAATAATCGCGACGTACAAATGTTTATAAAATGAAAATATACTGTCTATATACTCAACATACAAGAGCCAAGCCCGCCGGAAAACCTCAGCAAACGTTGCGAAGAACTCCCCCTCCGGAAACCCCCAGAGCCCATCGTCTACCTCCGGCTCAAGTTCCCCTAAAACGAAAATTAAATTTTCGGGAAAACCAATTTTAGGTACTTCCACTTCAGGCCCCCAATTAACCCCCACTTGAAAATTGACGACTCACAATGTTGGGGCATCTGGGAGCGGTTGTTGTACATTTTGTAACAACGGGAGAGCTCCTTCTCGGCCTGGCGCTTGCGGGCCTCGTCCTCCTCGTCACGGTGCTGCGGGAGATGGGATCGGGTTGAACTTGGGGCGATTGGGGTTGTAGTGGTGCGATTTGGGCGAGTGTTGACGAGGCGGAAGGAGACGTTCTCGTCGGCAGTGAGGCAGGCGAACGAGTCGTCGCCGGAGAAATCGAAGGCATAGTCGGACGGGTGGTAGGCTCCGCTATGCTTGGATCTGGATCGGGCCTGGTTGTTGAGGTTTCGGGTCCAGTCGGCGATCCGACCTAGCTTCTCAGAGTGGGCAAAAGGGGCGAAGAGGATGTTGGAGGGGTTGTTGGGAACAGAGAGCGCAGCGAAGACGGATTCCGGCGGGCCCCAACTGTCGGGATTGAAGGGCACAGTGCCTACCTCAAACCTATCATAACTGATTGGATTGTTGTTGTTTTTGTTTGCTGGATATCAGATGTGTGAGAATAGAGTTTTTGATTTTTCGAGGTTTGTGTTGGGGATTGGAATTTGGAGCATAATAAAAATCCCCGTATGATCTTCTTCCCTAATTAAAGGATAACTTACTAATATTTGAATTCTAGCATATATGCAATTAAGTTGAGGTGATTTTGTATTCTTGTAAAATATTAACTAAGCGTAAATGTGTAATATAAAATATAGGGTAAATTGCACTTTTGGTACCCAAACTAAAGTTTATTTCGGAATCAGTACCCGTTTTTAACGTTTTCAAAATCAATACCCAAACTTTTACTCCGTTAGCGACGTTAGTACCCGGCCTTTAGTTGTCCGTTAATCGTTAACGATTCTGACTAACATCGCAGTTAGGGTTTGAATGCCTTCATTTTTCCCCAATTTCTCGCGTTCCTAAAATAAACCTTAACTTTTCAATTTTTTTCAAATCATTCATCAAAATGATGATCGAACCCTCAAATCGAAGCTCGATTTTAGAATTTCCAACTGAATTCTTCTAATTGTTGCTCGATTTCTCCAATGTTCAGCTCAATTACTCAAATTGCAGCCCGACTCTTCAAATTTGAACGCGATTCCTCAAATTGCAACCCGAATCTTCAATTTGCAAGTAAAGTCCAGTAATTACCGCCTGTGTATTTCAAATCCCACCCGAATATTGAAATTCCAGATCGATTCAATGGCGAAAAGAGATCGAGCAAATACAAAAGGAACTCCAGTCTACGGTATGTTTCATGTAATATGCTAAATTTAGCTTTAACACTACTTAAAGTCCTGTAATATGGTCGATTTTGCTTTAACACTTCTTGAAAATAGGGTTCTAATTTTTATTTTATTTTTTTGCATGTTTGTTACCCAAATGAGGATACGAAGTTCACTTTGAGAATTTTCCATGGAGGGGAGATGATTAAAGGCATGTCAAGGTATTACAGAGGGGGTTGTGTAGATTATTTTGATGGTGTTGATGGGGACATGTTGGGTCATATTGAAATGAATGATTTTGCCAAACAATTAGGTTATGAGGAGCAAAATATTAGGTTTTGGAATCAATATAGTCATTCATTGTATAGGGGAGCAAAAGTCTTAACCAGTGATTCTGATGTGCTTGATATTATGAAGTTTATTCCTCATAATAGAGAGGCTCTCATTTACATTGAACATTTAAACCATCCACAACCTATCCAGCCTTCTAGTTTGCCTTCTACTTTGCATGAAGATGAAGAACTTGTTCTTGATTTTTCTTTTCTTGATGACATTAACACAGCAACACTATAAATAGAGGGCCACCCTGATCCAATTGTAGAACATAATAGTGATGGTCATAGTGACAGTGATGATAGTGATGTGTTACTTGATTATGAGTATGGCATGATGGAGGATGATAGGTTGTATGAAAAATATGTTGATCATGATGTTGAGTTTGTTGGTTTAGGTAAGAGTTCCCAAGCTCTGAATAACATATTGGGAGATGAAGTTAGTTCTAGATTAAAAGGGGACACATTAGAACCAGTCAATAGTAGGGATGAGCTTGAGAGTTTGGTTGGTTTTGATGAAGATGACTTGTGCATGCCAAAATACCCCAAGTACAACCCTACTACTGATAGTAGGAAGCCAGTCCTTAAATTAGGACTGGTTTTTAGTACCAAACCAGAGGCAAAGTCTGCCATTAAGACTTAATGCTTTAGGGGTGGGAAGTCAAGATTCTTTGATAGGAATGACATCAGAAGGCTTAGGGCAAGGTGCAAGACTGATGGCTGTGAATGGAAAGCATATGTTGCTCCAATGCAACATGGTAGTAGTTGGCAAGTAAGGTGTTCAATGATGAACACACTAACTGTTCTTTGAGCTATAATAATTCTTCTATAAAGTCAACTAGGGTGGGTAAACATTTTATGAAAGAAGTAAAAAAAAAAAAAAATCCTAAGATACAAATAACAGGCTTTAGGGAACATGTGTGTTCTAAATTGAAGGCAAACATCTCCAAACATTAGGCTTATGGGGCCAGAATTGCTGCCAGACAGCTCCTTGAGGGTGATGTTAAAGAACAGTATAGTAAGTTGAGGGATTATTGTGCTGAGTTACTGAGGTATTTTCCTTGGTCAACTGTGGTCCTCAAATTAATTAAAAATGAGGGTGTGGTCAATCAATTTCATAGGTTTTATGTGTGTTTTAAAGCTTGTAAGGAGGGTCTTAAAGCTTGTAGAAAGGTGGTTGGGGTTGATGGGTGTTTTTTGAAGGGGTGCTATGGGGGTCAGTTGTTGACTGCTTGTGGGATTGATCCCAACAACTGTTGGTGTTATATACTTAAGCTTTGCTTTAGTGGATATTACACTTGTTATT